CTTTAAACCTGTGATCTGTCGTCGAAACTTACTTGAAAGCGCTCCGATCTTCATGTTTTCTCGGCAGTTGTAGGAAGAAAAACTTCTTCACCAGAAAGGTTTGAGGACTCTGTATTTCTTGATCCTCCATTCTGAGGCCATCTGAACATTGATTTGTATTCTTCCTTTCTATTTTAAAGCCCAAAGCAGTAATTTATCCGTGTTAGGAATGAAAACAAGACCTTGGAAGTTTTTAGATTTGGCCCGCAACGCGCCATGTGACCTGCACTTTTCGAGCACACGATTTTAAGAAGAAAAACCGTCTTTCTAGGATCCCTAAAGTCCTCTGAAAATATGCTCAGAAAGTCCATTCAGATTGGTTTATCTGTCCTCAAGAACAATAGAACAATAGGGGAACCAAAGAATCTTCAGGGAGGGTAGGAAAGGTAATTGTCCCCATGTGCTTTTTTTGTGGGCAGTTACGGGCGGCACAGGGAAATGGAGGAGTTTTTTGCATGGGCAGTTACGGGCGGCACAGGCGTCAATGGGTTAACTGAAATTTTTAAAAATAATTTTGACTGCCAGACACGGAGTATTTTGAAAATCCTGTCCGGGTGCTGGACATAGAGACACAGCGTTAACTATAGGCTTAACTTTTATGCCTGTTACATCGAATAGCCCAAGTTGGATCCTGGGTCCTTGCACTTAGAAGGGAAGAAGATTGCCAAGAACGGAAAGCAACAACAACAACAAAACAACAGAGATTTCCATTTTTCACAAAAGATCTCCATCCTTGACCTTTGACGTGGCATATATCAGTATATTTTTGATAACCAAAATTGACAGAGAAATAATTATAAAGCAACCAAAAGGTTTCGTTGAATAGCTCCTTGTGACTGATGTAATATGGCAGTTTTGTTTGTGTGGCCAAATCTGATACCTGATAAATTCATCGGTAGCACAAATGATTGTTTTTGTTTCTAAGCTGCTTCTTTCCTACAATCACTGTAGCAAAACAATTTTTATTGGATATTACAGTTGAACATTGTGTGGAATTTGCACAATACATGTATAAGTTTTTTTATTGTTATTGACAATGGTAACAGGACTGAGTGGAGTCCAATTCAGTCTATAAGCATACAAGTGATGAACAAAATTGGACAGGTGCAAAGCAAGAGTCTGATTTGTTAATCACAAGTATGATTAGAGATAGAACTGGACGACATGATGTCCTGGTACCAATTAATCATAACCATTGCAATTTCCCGCAAAAGTAAAGGCAGAATGGCTGTTAAGTTTCTTTGAAAACAGTCACCAGAGACTAAACCTCCACAATTTTATTAAATCAGTCTCTTGAATTGGTTGCTATAGAAATTGTAATCGATGTTGTGATTGGTGGATTTAGTTGAGAGGACTTAAAATGACTGGCTCATGTACATGTAACTGTCTGATTACAGGTGTCTGATTACAGGCAACTGTCCAATTATACTGTCTGATTACAACTTTGCAGATTAATCAGAGCAAAATATAGGAAATTGTAATTGTTATGATGATGATTATTATTATTATGAGCTTTGCATTGAAATACATGATTGTTTAGATTGTGGTGGTTGACTCTACATGTAAAACAACATGCTAGCAATAATTAGTGTTTTAGCTAAGGATGCCTGTGAAAGTCTGTAGTTGCTGTACCTTAAATATTAAACTTTGTGTATTACAGAATAATTATTGTAACTACTTGTGGCATTTTGTGGCCTTCTGTCCATCATTTCTTCCACAATAGAAAGCTTTTTTGTTTTTTACATTTTTGTTGTTGTTTGTTTAGAACTTACCATATCATACAAGGTTACTGGCTGTACATCAACATGTGCGAATGACAACTGTTCCTTTTCTTTTTTACTATATCTGCAAGTAAATGTGTGCGTTAATTAACAATTATTCCCTGAGCGCGCGTTGGATATGAGTTGGCTATAACCAATCTCATATCCAACAAGCGTGAATGGAATAATTGTTTTATTAAATTCGGTGCGTTTGTATTCTTG